TTGCTTTGTTGCCCTCAGTAGAGTGCTCTGATGTCATAGCTCACAGCAACCTCAAACTCTTGGGTTCAAACTATTCTCTTGCCTCAGCCTCCTGAGTAGCTGGGATTATAGGCGCTCTCCACAATGCCCAGATATTATTTAGAGATGGTGTTTCCCTCTAGCTGAGGCTGGTCTCGAACTGGTGAGCTCAGGCAATCTGCCTGCCTCAGCTTCCCAGAGTGCTAAAATTATAGGTGTGAGCCACCATGCCTGGCCTTGAATTTAATTTTTGGTGTAAGTTTTTCTCATTTACGTTAGTATGTTTGGCACCTTTAGTTAATTATTGCCCTTTGGTGCTTTTGCATCTATTTCCTGTCATGGCACTTGCAGAAATTGATAATGTTGGCATTGCACATGCTGCTGATGGGGCTGCCACAGGTGACTTGTCCCCGGATCTGGCTGCCCAGTGCCCTCTCCAGGGCTCAGGGAACACTGTCTGTGTAGTTGTGTGACTCTTTCTTAGCACAAAGCTTAGAAACTGTGATTTAACTAGCAAGGGGTTTAGATTAATGGATTAAGTTTATAAGGGAAGGCTTTAAAGAAGTACATATGTGTATTATATATGCCACCTGTATTGTATTTATTATTTTACTTTTCCTATTTTAGATAAAACATATACATGATTGAAAACACAATCTGTGTTATATTCTACGTATATTGTGAGAGAATATGATTATCATAGTTATTCTGAGATTTTATATATATGTTCCAGTAATTACTTTCCAGATCATAGTATTATGCATTTTTACTTATTCTAAACGAATTTCCTGTGCCAAGAAACAAATTACTAATACTATAGGAAGAAAAATTATGTTTTATTTTCTCTTTGACTTTTAAATTGTTAGTAAACTGTTAACTTGAGACTCAAAGCTGTTTCTAAATTACATTAATATGGTAAACACAGCTAGTGCTTAGCATAGCTTCATGAAAATATGTGCGTGTGTGGGGTGTTTACCCTCAGTGATTCCGTAAAAAGTCCAGTGTCTTGCTGAGTTCTGTGTGTCTCTTCTCTTCCCCAGTGTGGCCAGACTCCTTTGATGATAGCAGCTGAGCAAGGCAATCTGGAAATCGTGAAAGAATTAATTAAGAATGGCGCTAATTGCAATCTGGAAGATTTGGTATGTATTAAAAGCATTTACTTATTTGTCTTCACTTTCTTTTCCTTAACTTAGCTGTTTGTCTGTTTTTAAGAAGTAATTCAAAAGTAATAGATTAAAAATTGTACTTTTAGATCTATGTCAGTCTTGCCTGTTGGCTTTGTCAGTTTTTTAAAAACAGGAGAGGAATTTTTCTTTTCAGCGAAGGATCACAGCTCTTTATTTTTTACTGCGTAAGTACAGGTGTGCTAGTGGAACAGAGGTATATGTATGCACAATTGTATACCTAACAAACGCTCCTGCTGAGTCATGTTGTTAAGTAGCACCCTGTGATGCTAACTTCTAATAAACATTACGTATGATACTGGCCAGAAAGATGTGGTCCCTTCTCATCGCACTTCTGCAGGGTAAATCTCCATTCTAAGACGTTCCATTTCTTCTACTTTTCCTATTTTACTTAGAATTGCTTTGAGTATCACTCAGCTACATTCAGTGAGCACTGAATTAAATTACATTCATGAATTAAAGTTATAAAATAGTATACTTTTATACTTTAAAAAATAAAGGAGAAAAGTTTTTTTTTTGTTTTTTTTTTGAGACAGAGCCTCAAGCTGTCCCCCTGGGTAGAGTGCCGTGGCATTACAGCTCACAGCAACCTC